GAACTCATGAAACGATTCCATACGTGACAATATTTAAATGTGTATGTTGTGGGTGGTTCCTCTGGATTGGATCTCCGGCGTGGCCGGTTGAGGAACGCTTCACTTTCCTATACACAGAAGCATCCAAATCCTTTTATTCACTAACGGTATCTTGACAGACTTACTTATACACGATTTACACTTGAAGTACTTTCATATGGGTCCACAACTATTGCTGATCATTCTCCGCGAAACGTACTGAGTAATACACGCTAAAAACGCGATTAAACGAATACTAAAAACGTGTATCTTGCTTCCGATTGCGACCACGCAGTTCAATACAACTGATGGGTGACCTGCCTGCGTCCAGAGTCACTCCGTCAAGAGCTTTTCGTCATACCAGTGTCGACTATGTGGGACCTTTCAATATCAAACTCTCGAGAAATAAATCGGGTAAGGCTTACCTGTGTCTTTTTGTTTGCATGACTACTAAGGCAGTACACCTCGAACTGACCTCACAATTGAAACGTTTTTGAATGCACTTAAAAGATTTATTTCTCGAAGAGGGATTTGCGAGTCCATTTTGTCCGACAACGTCAGGAATTTCCTGAGTGCAAGCAACATACTGCGACAGATTGGCGAATTCTTATCACATCTTGAACATCAAGCGAAGATTACATTTCGCGTCGAACCAAGGAATATCGTGGAAATTCCTTCTATCTCACTCCCCTCATATAGGAGGACTATGGCGTCAAGGCGGTCAAAACTCATCTTAGAATTGTCATCAATGATACGTTGCCATTTGAGGTACTGTATACAATACTTGTTCAAATCGAACCTATTCTTAATTCACGGCCTTTATGTCCCTTAAACATTTCTCCAGACAAACTAGACACCAGGACATTTTCTGATCGGAACATCGCTTCTGACATTACCGGAAACATCTGTGCTTGATATTCCAATAAACCGCACTAATCGTCATCAATTGTTGATTCAGATGCAGTAATCGTTCTGAAAACGTTGGTCTAGAGAATACGTGACTCAAATGCAATAACGAAACAAGTGGAAAACCACTGCAGACAATAATAAGATACAAATAGGCAGGTTAGCGATGAAAATCTACCTCCGCTGAAATGGAGTACAGGCAGAATTTGTGAAATTCATCCAGGCCCTGACGGTCTAGTACGTTTCTTTACAAACTGCGACGGAAATCGTTCAACGCTCTCTGCCAAAAATATATGTATTACCAATTAACTAACAATGTTGTTTATTGCGTATAGCTATCATTTAAGCCTATATATGTATTTAGAATATGTTTATCTTTGTATTTCAAATATTACGATCACAATGTAAATTTAGACATTAAGTTTATCTAATTACATTGAAGTTATACTTCAAAGTGGCGATGGATGATTTCATGTGCATTTCTGTTTTACCGGCCTTATTAGTCATATCGTCTTGTTCCCAATGTGTGGCACTAGGCGCGAGCGATCGTTGTATAATCACAAATACGAAGAAGAGCGGTAGTACGATCACGCATCGGATAGACGAGTGATCCCAAATAAAGAACAGAAAAACCACATTTCGATTCTGCTTAACTCACCCAACGATAAATCCTGAGTCATCAGTGAACAAACATATTATTTCTTTTTATTTCAGGTTTCTTGTAATTGGTTTTCCGAGTTTTACGCTTTTCCAATAATTTATTTTTCGGAAAGTATGTACTTATCCAGTGGTAAGAGTGTTTTTATGTATTTCTTCTAATTTTTCAGATTTCTTATAAAATCTTTTCTTTTAATTTCAAATAGATCCTCATGGTGGTTTTGGTCATGGCGGTTTTGGTCGTCCTCGTTGTAACATTCATTTATTTTATTAGAAATCGAAGTAATGACTATCATGGTTGTTCCACTCGAATTTCCTCCTCATCTGGTTCGTATTCTAATTTTATGTTTATTTCATCACTGTCTTCAATCTCAACATCTATTCCTTTGTTTTCAACTGTTTTTTGAGTTTTTTAAATCCTTCTCGTTCATTTTTTCTTAATTCTTCTGTTAACTTATTGATTTGTTGATATAATTCTCAGAAAGTATTTGTTCTTAATTCTTCTGTCTGCATCATATTTATTGCATTGACAACGTTGACGTGTCTGACTCTTCTATCTTTATAGATGCTGCGTAGCTGTCTCTATTTGAATTTCTCCTGCTACGATTTCTTATTCTTCTATCTTTGTTACTTGATTGTATTGATGATTCTTCATATTTCTCTTCGCTTAATTCGCTTTTCTGCAAAGGTTTATTTAGATCATCTGTCAGATCTTATTTGTCTCGAGTTGAAAACTCCTATTGTCTATCTGTCTAGATCTTTTAACAAATATGCTTTAGGTCTAATAATTTTGTTAATTCTATAAAGTCCATCATATACAAGATGTATTTTTCTCGTTACCTTTTTATGTGCATCAGATCTTCTGTGCAGCCTTAACCATACTGTCATCTAGTTGTAATTGGTTCGCAAACCTATGTTTATCGAATTGTATTTTTCGCTTTTGCGCTGTTTTATATATTGTAATTAATTTTTTGCTTGTTTTATCTTAATATTACAAGGTTCGTTATTAATCACGTTTGGTAATAACGAGTGTACGTCTATATCTAAATTATCGTCGTAATGAAGGTCATCTGGCGCATAACCTGTACTCGCGTGCGCTGTACAATTAATCGTTCTTTCTAATCTAAATATAATTTAATCCCATAATTGGTGATCATGACTCGCATATGTTCTAACTATTCTACCTATCTCTCGCATAACTCGTTCTACCGGATTGCTTTGAGGATTATATGGGCTTGTTTTTATCTCAAATTCGTTTTTACAAGCAAACCCTTTCCATCAGTTTGTTCATGGTATAATAAGTAAGATGTACCATTCCGATGGATGCGCACTGGATTGAAAGTAGTGGGGATCATCAGCCAATCAAGTTGTGACTATTTTGCAGAAATTCAATATGCGCTTACAGAGCGCTGAGTACCTCGTGTTGTCAAAACAAATAAGACGTTTATCAATTTTGACATTTAATTGGCTTTTTTTATTATATTTAGACAATTTTGCATGTAATATGCCAGTGTGCATACAAAATTGTAAAACGCGGACAGGCCGTGCTAAAGGAAGAAGTAAAATTTGCTATTTTCTTAAAGAGCCTAATCTGAGAAAGAAGACTTGAGGCTTACAAACGCAAAGAAGAGCTGAAACAAACATACAGTGAGTTTATGATACACATTTTGTTTGTCACTAACTGTTGCAATGATGTAGTGATTAATAATGCAAATTTATAAACTGAATTATAAAATCTATACATATAGAGATATAGAGATATAAAGGTATAGATTATATTGAACTTTAATAAGAAACATTATTTTCAGATGTAGTATGTGAGCGACATTTTCTAGCGGACTGCATAGAGGAAAAGTGGACAGAACAACGTTTGAAAAATCAATCACGAGTGATTCGACGATTAAAAGAAGATGCAATACCGACAGAATATTTGAATATTGAAACAGAAAGGAAACCAAGAATTAGTAGAAGGTAAGTAACAAATTTATGTTGAAACAATTCTGAGTTGTGTTATGTAACACACCATTAAGGACTAAAAATAAACCTTGTAATTCATATTAATAAGATTTATTTTACGTAATAGTTTATCAATTAATTCTTTATCAATAGTTATCAAGTAATTCTTTATCAATATTACAGTAACAGTACAATGCCAATAAGTATAGTATATAAAGTGAAATGCAAGAAGAGCTAATGAAAAGTCGATTTCAATGACTAATCACAATTCATGAAGCAGAGCGACACTTTTTTGTCAAACTTTTACTTATTTTTATATACATAAAACAACAATTCAAGGACTCTTCATACATAAATAACAATAAATCAAGAGCAAAGTAAGATTTAAGACGCATTTCTTTAAAAAGTCATACAAATGATGTTCCTTAACACTCAAGAGAAATCGTGTTATCTTTTTTTCGCTAAAGAGAAAAGACTTGAATCGAAATTTAGGTGGTTATTTAACAAAAAGGAGAAACATACGTTATTGGGGATTACGATATAGTACAGTTTTGATTCTTCTGAGAAACCATTCTTTTCAACATCGAGTACCTTTTCAGTTTTTTTAACACGCGATTCACGGGAACATTCTGCTTTGTATGTTGCTAATCCTGCTTCCGTTTCACAGATTAGTTTTATTCCTAGTTCCGTCATTTTCATACATCCTAACACTTTTCCTTTGATGACCAGAGGTCATCGTCTTTAACTGTTAGAGACGATTGGTTTGTGAATTTATCTTCTTGTAATATTCCTGTCAACATACAATACTTCTTACAATTAGGAGATAATTTCGCACTACCTTTTGTTAATAAAAATAAGTTAATCTTTGATTGTATTAAAGGAGTTGAGAGTAGTACATTGAGAATGTCTATAGATAGAATTGATGTGATTAATCATTCCATTCCAATCCTGAACAATATCATCTCTTCTTCTATTTTCACATCACCCACGGATAAACAATTGTTAAGGATAGAGTCCGATTTTCGTACATTTGTGTCGGCGCATTCCAACATCATTTTTACGCATGCTGACAAAGGCAACATCACTGTTGCCATGGACAGGGACGCAGATAGGAACAAAATGACCACATTATTAGCGAACTCAGACACGTATGTTTTAATCAAGATCCGATTAAAAAACTTACGACAGCTTTAAGGTCTTTGCTCACTGGATGGAGAACTAAAAGTCAAAGATTCTAATTATAAAGCTTTGTATTGTAGTGATGGGTTACTTCCGAAAGCCTATGAGTTGCCTAAGATTCATAAGCCTGGTTGTCCTCTCAGGATTATCGTATCATCGGTGGGCAGTCCGCTATATTCATTGGCTACTTTTTTGCACAATAGATTATTTAAAATCATTCCGAAGGCAGATAGTTGCATCAAAAATAGCTTTGATTTAGTCAACAAATTAAGAATGTTACATACTACTGCACATGATTTAATTTTATTGAAATAAATAAACAAATTCAAAGGACTCTTTCAAAACATAATAACAAAAACTCAATCAACGGGCGAAGTAAGAGTCAACCACATTTTTTAATTTTGACATAAAATTATATATTGTATTAAACGCGATGAAACATCACGCCAAAAAATAAATAAAACTATAAACTAATACATTACAAGTAACAAGTTTCGGCTACCAGTTTGAGCCCTCTTCAGACATTAGTACAATAAAAGTAACAGAACAAATTCAATTGTCACAAGTATTCGCATAATCCGAATAATCACAGTTCGGGTGAGTCTTGATCTCGAAACATAATTTCCGTATGGTTGAATAGTCAAAAGTATTAAAATTGTCATTGTTGAAGTTCTAGTTAATAAAACGGATAAATTAAAAATAAATAAAAATAAAAATAAAAAACGCAACGGACAAATACGTATAAATAAAATAATATAAAATACCTAATGTATTAGTTTATAGTTTTATTTATTTTTTGGCGTGATGTTTCATCGCGTTTAATACAATATATAATTTTATGTCAAAATTAAAAAATGTAGTTGACTCTTACTTCGCCCGTTGATTGAGTTTTTGTTATTAATTTTATTGGATGTGACATCTCTTTTCACTGGATCTCTTTTCATTGGAATATTCCAATAGATATAGCGGTCGATTGTGTAAATGATGGAATTTCATTTCGAAGGATTGCTCATTTCCTAAGAATGAGTTTTTGAGAGCGTTTTGATTTGTCTTAGATTCAATCTTTTTTCCTTTGATAATTTAATTTACAAGCAAATTTTGGCACCCCCATGGGTTCTCCATTACCACCGGCAATAGCGGATTTAGTAATGAGGAGATTAGAAATGATGTCCTTGATGTCATTGAATTTGGACATTTTATTTTAATATAGATATGTTAATGATATTTGTACAGCGGTTCCTCCTTCTAAAATCGAGGTTTTATTAAAACAATTCAATTCTTTTCATCCGCGCCTCCAATTTACTGAAATAGGAGGAGAAAAAATAAATTTTCTTGATATCACTACATCTAGTTACAGGAATCGTTTTATTTTCGATTGGTATCGTAAGTCTACCTTTTCAGGGAGATTTTTAAATTTTAACTCGAATCACCCAATTGCACAAAAAAAAGGTACAATTTTTTCGCTAGTTGACAGAGCTTTTTTTACTTTCTGATTTTAAGTTTCATTCAAAAAATTTGACTTTTCTAATTAACATTTTACTTGACAATGATTATCCACTGACTTTTATTTTTGACACTGTTAATCAACACATTAAAAATAGACACTTGACACATAAAGATTTAGTTGACAATGTACGAAAGAATCTGTATCTTGGCTTACGGTACCTTTTATTTCTTTTCACACCAAAAGTTTAAGCGATTTAATAATAATACCTACGTCAGGGTTTCTTTCCACAATCCGAATAAAATGGTCAAATATATCAAAGGGCAGAAGGATATGTGTCCCCATACATCTAGAAGCAATGTAGTCTACAAAATATTGTGCAATAATTGTGACGCGTCGTATGTTGGACAGACGGGCAGACAATTAAAAATTAGAATTACTGAACATCGTAATCATATTAGACATAATACTTCTGTTCATTCTGTCATAACGGAGCACAGGCTACAGTACGATCATGATTTCCAATGGGACAGGGTTAAAATTTTGGATGAAGAGCCTAATTATAAGAAACGCTTAATTTCCGAGATACTCAATATCAAGAAGCAGAAAAACAGCTTGAATTTACAAACTGACACGGAAGATCTGCATAGGGTATATATACCTGTTGTAAATAGAGTTTAACTTTGTGATACCGACTGTCCGTCTCTTCTCTCAATCCGTGTTGATCCGCATAAGCGAGCGTACATCAAGCGATACACAATGTCTGTCTTTTATGTCTGCGTTTCACTTGTCTCGTTATATTTTAATAGTTTTATATACTTGTTATGGACACATTTATTTGAACAATTTACATGTTTTCTGGTAAGTTTTTATTTCTTATTTGAAATTTTCTTTGCGTTTAATTTTTTTTCGTAAGATGTTTTTTATCTTTTTATTAACTAAAATTTTTCCAAGAGATATACTTGCGACTGTCTAATCGTAAATATCGACGTGAATATCGTCGAGTTCTATATCAAAACTCACCCGAACTGCGGACATAATGAATATGTGTAATTTTAACGTTTATCACTTTGTATTACGACATTCTTTTTTTTCTGATATGTCTTACGTCTCAAGAGGGCTCAATCCGGTAGCCAAAACTTGTAATGTTTTTAATTTATTATCACTTTTACTTGTTGTCTTATTATATATCTTTTCTTTCTTTTTCATTATTTTTTCTGTATTTTTAATTTATTCCTTCATTTGTATGATTTTTTAAAGAAATGCGTTGATTCTTACTTTGCCTTTGATTTATTGTTATTTATTTTATTTTTATATATTTTTTGTATGCGAAAACGCATCGATGCGCTCACAGTTTCTCAACGACAATCTCGATATTTGGACCCTAGACATTTAATTATGCCAAAAATACATCGACTAAAAGTATTTTTATCAATATTTGATTTGAGGTAACCAGAAAATTCAATATTATATATAATATAGCTTTAGCCACAATCGCACTTATTCAACTCCTCTGCGATCGCGTGACCGTAATAATAATAACGTCAATAACTTCAACTTATAATCTCTGCAGAGTGTAGAATGTGCAATGCAAAATGTGCAGAACTGTCACAGCGCTGGCAACGCTCGCCATATGTGATGTGAGCATGCATTGCTAGCGCCACATTTGCCTCTTGCGTCAAAAATTCGAAAAGGACATTACCCCCACTCCGTAACGGTGACGACGACATTTCTTAATTTTTTCTTAATAAAAGTTTCAGATTCGTATTTTGCAATATCTCCGCTCGTAGAACATATAGAGAAAATAAAAATACTCTCATAATATATCCCGAGCGGTTGCAATCATGAGCACACTTAGAACTTAATCGATTCAGCTCTTATTGAGATCCGATAATCTCAATCTGGCGCAACTCGCCGGCTTGCGAAAAGTAGCCATGGTAGTATCGCTGCGCGTAGCTTAGCGCTACCAATTAGACTACCAGTGTCTCCAGATTTGTATTTGCCTTTATAATTAATGTAAGTGTTGCATAATTTTTATTTTTTATTCCTTGATAATCATTTAATTTTTGTTAATTGATATTATAAATTTAATGTTTGTTATTTATATTTCAGTTGTGTTTTTGTTCAAATAAAATTTTTATATATACACATACATAAAGTTATAATTTATCAGTTTATCATATAGTTTTAATTGTTAAAGAAGTTTTTAAGCTACAAACTGTAATTTCTTTAAAGCATCAATTTTAACGATAATTTATTCTATTTAGTTTATCTACCAATATTATTAACGAGTACATACAATCATTTATATGATACATCAAGCTATATCATTAATACGACTGGAATTTATTCTTTTATTCATACTGATTGTCCTTTCTCGCTATTAACCGATGAATTGGTTCGGAATCATGACTCTTCACTACATCGTTTATTTATCAAGTTTGACTTAACATATAATATGGTTGCGATATATGGTTACCATACTTTGTAACACGAAGATAAGACGATCTTTAGAAATCTGTTATATTATCTATTGTACCTCGAATGTGAAATCATTCTCATAATATAATTAGTTATAATATTAGTCATAATATAATTAATATAATTAGATATTTGAGTATTTATGTATTTCTACGACTGATGAGGACTAAGTATAGTCGAAACATACTGTTGAAACTTATCGTCGGAAAATTATAATTTGTAATTAATAAATATTTGGTATCTAACTCGTTTAATGTATTGACCTGGGTTTTACTATTTATTAATTTGTTGTAAGTTATACGAGCGAACAGAATTGATTATTTATATTGTAATAATTTATTTTTATTCTTGTCCAATGAATAATTAAAAAAATCTCGTTTATATTTAATCTACTCGAATATATAATATTAAAAACTATTCTATATCTTTCCTTGCTTATGTAATGACTTCACGCGGAGCAACTTTCAACCTACCTCCCCCAATTTCAGGGGCGCACGACTTCCATGCGAAACGATTCTCACCCTATCTTCCCCCGATCGAGGAGCGTACAACTTTCCACGAGAAGCGACTATCATCCCACCTTTCTCTCTACCAAGTCATATGCCTCTTAGGAGTGATGAGGTGAAAGTCGTTTCGCATGGAAGTCGTGCGCCCCTCAACAGGGGGGAAGTGGAGTGAGAGTCGCTTTGCGTTTAAAGTTGTAAAATTATTTTAAAGCAGAAAATTTCAACTTCCCACGCAAAGTAAGGTCCATTCCACCTCTCATCCTGCTGAGGAGCATACGACTTTCCACGCAAAGCGACTCTCACCCCACCTCCCTCCTGTTGAGAGGCGCACGACTTCCATGCAAAACGACTGTTTTACATAGTAGAAAAGGGACATTTTTCAAACTTTTATTAATAACTTTTTAATGAATGATGAGCGACGGCTAAAATCTGTTGGAGGTCACTTAGGATTATTATTTTGACAACATATGTCAAAATCAAGGTTATTGGCGATTGCTCTCATTTTCTGCAGTTTTACCTATCTTTCTAATATGATACCGAATTGAGGTAATTAATTAAATTATTAAAATTTTATAAAAATTACTTATTTATTTAATTTAATTTGTGATATTATTACAGTAGTTTAATTGCGTTGATAAGTCCCAACTCCGAAAAACCAATTCGGCGCGCAGTTCGAATGACTACAAAGATAGTATATATGCATGTACATATGTAGTATGTATACAATTCACATTGAATTATTTAAAGCATTAAAGATTCAGCTTCGACCGTCATAGATTATAATATTCTTACTTGTTGTGTATTTATATTATTGTTTTAATAAATCATTTATTATTATTTATTTATTTGTGTTTGTGACAAAGTGACAATAACAGGCGCATTGTCGTCCGCCTCTTCGAGTAAATTCGAAAAGTCCCACAAAAACTTGGCGGTCAATCGACCTTGTAAACGCTTGGCGTACGATTTTAATCGATCGTCCACCTCAGAATTTGACTCGATATTACCGAATAAGTTGCACAGATTACGATATACAAAATTATTGTTCGCTACAATGTCGCAGAGTACTTCTTCTGGCACATACGATAATTCTTCTTCCAGGACTTGCAGAAATTCTATATATATAGAGCGATATTGTGGAATCACGTTATCGGCGCCACAAATCAACGATATGAGTTTCTTCCATTGCTCGAAAGCGTCCAAGCTCTGACCAGCTAGGAAGCAAATGAACGTCAGCTGCATTTCCCCGATAATTTCGACAGGTCTAAAACAATTAAACTTTAAATATTCACACAAAACTCGTTTTTTCTCATCGAGCATTTTTCTCGCTTTTAATCTTTAAGATCTAAAATTTCAATTCCGAACTTACTCTTGCAATTTTTTCAGAGTGATTTCCAAAACATAACTAGTATCAAGAGAATGCCGCGTTATCTCGCTTGGAGTCGCATCGTCGGGATAATGTCTGTCTGGTATTTCTGTAAGCCTGAGTTCTGTACCAGGCTTCGGTTTCAGATTCGGTAGCATCTGCTCCTCCTTGCCCTCCGCCGTGAGTCTACTGGAATTTTTTCGTTTGCTATCAGATTCTCGGCCACGTGGTCTCGAAGCGTCATTGCAATGCTCCAGTTCCAAAGCGGATCGTACATAACTAAAACATATTATTCCAATAGAGTCGTACATTAAGTTTTAAATTTCAAGTAGAAGACAAGACTTACATCTTACTTACCCACATAATGGCGAACACCTCGTCATGATAGATGCAGTAATATCGTTTGTTAATTTTGTCCAAGATTTCGATATTTCGTATGGATATGATCCTAAATACCTGTTCAATTCTTTTATGTTATCTTTCAACCTTTGAACTGTCTCGTCAGGTACAGCTGTTTGAAGATTTCATGTAGAACTTGAATCTCGCATTATTAATAATAATCCTGATTACTTACATTCTGAACTAACATCTTCCTTTTTGTTATCCCATTTTTTCACTAAGAATTCACCTTTCTGGAAGTCATGAAAGAAACCAACTCTAGGTGCTAACTCGCCAAATTCATTTGCTGCACTATAAAAATATTGAATTATTCAGTGAATTTAAATAGTTATATCTATATACAAGTTATACCTATACAAAACGATAATTGTATACATATAATGATATCTTTTGACATAAGATTTAGAATTACTGACATTCATATAGTGAATTTGATCAATTGTATTAAATAAAATAGGATATGTTAAAAACTGCTACACATAAAATCAGCTATGTTAAAAGTAAAAGTATATATAGGACGTTTTGCGTCAGGCCACCACCTCTCCTTCCAAAATTTTACGCAACGGAAAAAAAACGTTTAATAAGGTTTCAGAATATTCGCACAATTGTGTACTTTCGAATGAAATGTTGCCTTTTAAAAAATTCAATATGGCGGTTCAAATATCTGAAATCCGCAAAAATCACGAATGTTCTTACAATATCTAGGTTCGTAATCATTTATACTAATCATTTTCAAGCCGATTCGTCAAGTTTTCGCATTTAAATCGACAATGTTGTAAGAACATTTGTGACTTTTGCGGATTTTAGATACCATATTTGAGCCGCCATATTGATTTTTTCTAAAGGCCAGGTTTCATTTAAAAATACACAAATGTGCGAATAGTTTAGACCTTAAACATTTTTTTCCATTGCGTCAAATTTTGGAAAAAGAGGTGGCCCGCTTGACGCGAAACATCCCATATATATATATTGTATATACACTCATATATATACATATATATATATATATATA